TATGTGACAACAAGAAAATTATGTTAGATTTATTCTGTTGTCTTTCCTATTCCTATTCCCCTTACCTGTCTTTCATTTCCCTTTGTCTAATATACTGAATTTCTCTTGAAGGTCACTTTATTTCTTCTGCATTTAGGTTATAGCAGATTAGGTTCTCTATCTGATTCTCACTCAGTAGAAGAGTCAATGAGTACCACTGGGGAACCTGGATACAGCCCAGTGACACTCAAAGTCACCTGCTAYTGTTGTCTTAAAATTTCACATAAATTTTGTGTGCTACTTTTAATATCAGTCGGCTTACCCATATGATTGAAAAAAATTAATACTCTGATGCAAGTTTTCCAGTGACTTGTCAAGTCCTGGAATAGAACCACCAAGTGTCTAGACCCATTCTCCCCAACCCAAATACTCTAGGTTCTTCTAAACTGGAACTACCAGCTTCTTATACGGGTCATTTTAGACAGGCTGTGCATTTCCTCTGCTGGTTGAGATGTCCACTTCCTAGTGCTGCAACAAAGTTAGTAATTGAATACGTATATTGTCAATGAATAAATGAATATTTTAGTATTTTTTAATTTATCAAAACCCTACCACCCATGTGATGGATACATCACCAGTACCACAACAACCATTGCACCTTCTGCAATTTGGTGAACAGTCAGTGAGAACAAGCCTGCCTTGTGCTAGTATAGCAAGCATTTTATAATCTATAGCCAATGCCTTAACCTAATTATTTCCTCAAAAGAAAGAGTCTTCCTTTAAAAACTTAGAAATTAAATATGAATGATATCATTCTATAAATCACAGTGATTTTTTGCGGGGGAGGGGACTTCTCCTGGATTTAGGCTACACACACAAACAAAGCCTCAGTGAAGAAGCACACCATGGGGAGTCTCGGAGAGGTGGTCATTAGAAGGGTGACTTGGCATCCCGATTATCACAAGTATTCTATGAGCTTCATAAAAAGGTCTGTTGAACAAAATTCACCTCTCTGCCCTACGGTGCCATTTAGGACTCTATATCCCAGGAATTTACACTGTTTAAAAGGTATTCTTCAAATGAAAACATAAGCAAGCCAAACCATACCCAGCTGCCAACCCGGTTATTTAAGGATGGCCTCTCTCTGGCTRACTCCCCAGGCCAGGACACAAGAACTGCCTCTTTAACTGTACTTCCTTCAGCCCCTAAGGCCAGAAGCTTACCATGGGAGCAAAACCAAATCAACAGGCCTTCTGGAAGCTGCCAAGGACCACACATGTACTCTATCAGTCCCTTCAGAAGACAGACCTGTGTGTGTAGAAACAGGGGGACCCTCTACCGAAGGAACCTGGAGGCCAATACCTGCCACTGTGAGGTTCCTGCACAGAGACCTACAATTCCCTGCACAGGTATAAATGTATCTGTTGTAAAGGGGTGACATGGCTCACAGAGGCTGGCAGAACCACAAGACAGAATATTGGGGGAGATTTCTTCTATACTGCAAAAGATTAAAAAAAAAAAAAAAAAACCTTCCCTTTCCTGCCCTGTTAGAGTCTGTAAACAAGTCAAGATGGCACCTGGGCATTTTGTGGAATGTATATATACCACTCCTGTCCTACAATAAACGGCTCCCACTCCTGCTGTATCAATGTACACAAGTTGTTCGTCACCCCCCGGTTATTTTGCTGCAGCTGGACTGCGGCACTGCCCCAGACCCTTAGCTATGTGAATTAATGTGGATGTGACTAATTTATTACATGAAAACCTCACAGCCCAATACTAAATGTCTGACACCTTTTACAAAGCTCCCTTTGGGCTGAGGGCACTGTCTATTTCAATATCTTCTCTTTGCTTGTACACTAATTAAAGTAATGAAACTGGTGTCCTCCCTCCAGCTGCCATGTGGGGAGTGGAGACACCATTCATAAAGGTCTGTCAGGCCATTTTTCTTAAGGACAGCCCAGAGCCCCAGTGCTCACCTCCCAACCTTTAAGAACATATGTGCACTTTTATTTGTTCATAAATTCAAAAGAAGCTCAGGAAAAAAAAAAGATTGTCATTTGCAGAATGGGATCATGAGCATGCAATTTCTAATATACTGTCACTTATGAGGATCTTTCATGTCAGGAACTCTACAGTTAAGGGATGGTTGTGTTTAAAACTACTTGCGTAGCTGGTGAAAAGGTAACTTCATCTTTTACTAAAACACCTGTTTAAACAGAAGGAACAAACTATGCTGACAAAAAACAAGTAGATCTGCTTTAAGCAAAGGTTAAGAAGTGCCTCAATACCAGTGGGCCATTCAATACCCCCTCATAGCCCCTTGATATCGTCTTAATATGTGATCATCCAATCTAGGGTCAAAGTGTGCGACACTATAAAAATTATTCAAGAAATCTGCTGGCATCAATTCAAATCCTTGACCTCCTACCTCTAAAGCCCTGTCCCAAGGGAACACTTCCTTCTGTTAATCCTGAACCCCTGCCATGCTTCACAGTCACAGCCATAGCCAATTGCAAGCCCCTGCCAACCCAGATATAAGCCTTCTCTGAAAGTATTTTTTCTCTGTATTCCTTCTTAAATCACTCATTCTGTCAGACCTCAGTTTCTGAAACAATAAAATTAGCTGGGGATGGGGGTGGGGCAGACAGTAAGCTGGGGTTCTGAAAACTTCAACTGCATCAGAATCACCTGGAGGACTTGTTAAGGCCCATGTGGAAGAGTCTCATCTTAAGGAGGGTTGGGTGGGGCCTGAGAAGTGAATCCTAATAAGTTCCCAGGTGATGCACATGCTCCTGGTCCAGGGTTTCCACACTTTGGAAACCACTTCATGAACTCATCTCTGAGGCATTATCTCACAATGCCATTTTCTTTTWAAAAAAAAAAAAAAGAAAAGAAAAGAAATTAACCAGAAAATATAATAGTGTACAAACCATAATACATTCACTGGTAAAATTTCATGCACATTCAAAAATCATTTTGAAAACTATAATTAAATTATAAGGCCAAGCGTACTTAAAACAATGACTACTCCTTAAAACAAAGAAATGCAGAAAATCTCTTACAACTCAACTATCTGGTATATAACCCCTGGGAGCCAGGCCTGAGGAAAAGCCCCAAGATACCTGCTTCAAGGTAGGCACCTACCACAATAGCACAGTGTGATGTATTCAGTCCTACTGGTATAAACAACGGCTACAGCGAGGACACACACACACACAAAAAAAAAAAAAAAAAAACCTACCCCTGAGGTCACCCTGGTAGCACTACAGTGGAAAACAGTATAACCTTGTCTAGTACAGTTATAGTACTCTATAATCCAACAGTTCCATCCTAGGTATATACTGAGAGTGGCAGTGATGTTCCTCCAATTTTTGTTCACAYGTCCCACAGAGTATTTGTGAAAATTTATATACCCTTTTGCCCATTAAGTCATCACCTAGTGCAGGGGTACAGTCTAAGGGTAGAGTGCTTGCCTACAGTGCTTGCCTAGCATGCTCAAGGTCTTGGGTTCCATCCCTAGCATTAAGTAGAAACAAAACAATCACCTAGAGTATTCATTATTAATTAATTTATTAATTTGATAAATAGTTGCAAATGATTAACAAAATTCAGGTTATCATCCAAACACTGATATTTTAAAATGAATAAAATAATAAAGCTCTTGCATCACTTTTTAAAAGGTGTCCACGAGAATATAAAAACCCAAAGTGTTGTAATGTTCACCATTATCCATTTTAATAATTCTTGAGCAAAGTGTTTCTAAGAGTTAAATATGTTATACCAYTTCTTGTTCCATTTCTCCTACAAGTACTGCTTCCATTCATTCTTCTACCAGATATGCAAATACGTTTTTATGCTTGAAAGTTTTCCATCATATTTATCTGCCGAAGTCTGGCTGGGCACAAATCACAAGCCACTGAAGCAGGAACAAACTTTATTTCTGAACTCCACCAGCACACTCCACACACGCTCTCGGGAACTCTCCCGAATGCCACGCGGCTCCTCCAGGAACCACCAACCAGAAATCCCTCCTCCAGCACTTCCTGAGAACTCTTCRGGAATCCCCCGGAGAGCTCAACTGGAACTCAACGGGAACTCCTCAAGAACTCAAAAATCATCATCTTAATGGTTCGCTGGCGTCACCTCTCAACCACTACTTCTGGCAAAAATGCCATGCRTCATCCCGACTCAGCTGTGGCCCTCAACATTTATCTACAATATAATATTTATTAAAATTTCAAAATTTTCTTATGATTTTTTAACATTTTTATCATGGATTGAGTTACCAGACATAGCAACAGTTATAGTAGCACAAGACTTCTTAACATAACTGTGATGTATTTTGATCAACATCAAACATAAAATATATAATTCTATTGGTAATAAAACTCTGAGTACTCTGAATGAAGGAAGCCGTGCCAATATTTTATTTGTACTCTCTGTGTACAAGCAGCATTTCAGTTGTCCACAGGCACATCCACTGGCAAGTCTGTGCTATGAAGATGATGTGAAAATTAAGGATATGGAAATGAATCCCTTAAACCTGAAATCCATGGATCATGYTTTCATTTGCAAAAGGTGACTGCCAATTGCATGTATACCTGCATAGATAAGGCTGTAAGTAGTCCCTAGAATGGTTCATTCAGGAGGCTGCTCTCCTGGCTAAGTAACTTCAGAACCAAGGATGCTGGGGTAATGGTCCAACTCTGGGGCCAAAGGTCATTTCCTTGGAGTTGTGTCTGGGACTCCTTCCCACCCCTTCTTTCTGAGCCCAACCTCTCACATGCTTCTTTAAGGATTCACAGGAGCCTGGCTGGGCTAGTCATGCCCTCAATCCAGGTGGACCAGTGGGGCAGGCTAGATGGACACCTAGACCTTCACTGATATCCATGTGGCCCTCACCAGTATATGAGTTGGAAGAAAAGGGAAATAAATCAAYATCCACTCTTCAGTTGTCCTTCTGGCATCTGTACATGGGAGGTCAGTGGCTCCTCCAGCAGCACAAGCCTCTTACCTACCTTCCATTGACCACACTCTGCTTCTCCAGCCCACTGGGAAGAACTACAGTGATGTCCAGAGTACTGTTTCGCAGTGCCTCCTTCATGTGGATCAGATTCTGCTGTGAGCTGAGGGCTGCATCACAGGGAGGTCTTTGATCCCCATGAACATTCAGAGGAACAGGCTTTCCAGGAGGTGGGGGAGCACGAGCCTTCATCTTCCTYCTTAAAAATGACAAGACAAAAGAACTGGATGAAGCAGAAGTTTTCATACTTGCTTCATAATAATTCATTGTCATAAGTGTTCATGCCTCTCTCCAGAAATAAAACTTGCGAGTGGCATGATCTTTCTAAAGTCAGCATAGCAATAGCATTCCACATTTACAGAAGACACCATCAAGAAAATAAGCCAGTTAAAAGAAAAATAGAGGAAGCATTTTTTGAGGAGTTCCTGGAAAGAAACACCTGAAAAATGTGGTTACCAGCTGGGAGCAGTACTGTACTATTTTCTACAGGATCCTAACAATGCAAAGGTAGAGCTGAGATTACTTGGCCCTTTCTGAGTTACAGGTGGGGTTCACATTACAATTTAGGTCAGTGGGCTCCCTTGATAGTCTGCAAGGGTTGTGCTCAACCTGCCCCAGAGCAGGAGCCAGGACCAGTTCTGAAGGTCTGGAATCCATGGGTCCATGATATTGAATATACTGGGATGATATCAAGCCATATTAAATCAACTTTGGTCTAGCACTCATTGACAAAGCCACTCTGAGTGGATGCAGCTGTTTGGCAGTAGGTGATAGTGTTATAACATGCAATCCTTTCATCTTGATTTATATCAGATTTCAAACTGTGTTTTGAATGTTCACATCACTTTGTAGGAGATTCCTAAACCCTTGCCAATGAGTCACTTCCTCCGATGAATATTTTTACAAATTCTTGTTTCCTCCAGATTAGTAAGGAAAGAAAACTGACCTTTTATATATATATATATATATATGTGTGTGTGTGTGTGTGTGTGTGTGTGTATTTATATTTTTTTATTTGATATGCAGAATACCTATAGTATATGTGTGCAGATATGTATAAATATATACATTTATGCATATACATTATATGTCTATATACCTACATATAAGCATATATATATGCTTCTATAGCTATATCAGAATAAATACACATACATACATGTAGTCATTTATACATAAGGACCCTATTTTACATAGATCCTGTATATTTTTTATAATAATAGATAGTATTTACTCCGCACTAAACATTCACTATGTCCTATGCTAATAAAAACCTTAGTTATTTACCTAATAATTACAATATTCAGTAGTTACATCATTCAGGTCTCAAAATATTTTGCAGCTCAGAAAATTCAGTTTGAGAGAAATCCATAGCTCACTCAAGGGCATACAATCATTGGGTGTCAGGCAGAGCTAGAAACCAGATCGGCTGACTCCCAAGGGCTTGCTCCTGCCCAATCCTCCCTACCCTGCCCCACAGGGAGGCAATGTGAGCTCTCCATGCCCCATAAACTCTGCTGCAAGGTAACCTTCTTGGAGGTACTATGGCAGGAGGTATCAAAGATACAGGAATTCTATTTCCAGAAATTTATTCTGAAGAAATGACAGTATTGCAAGACCACACTGTGGGAGATTCAAAGACTCTCATTATGGCATAACTTCAAATGGCAAACAAGCAAATAAATACATAATCTAACTAAACACTCTTAAATAAATACACGAAACAAATAACATAATCATATACTTATAAAAGACAATGTCAATAAATAATGGTTTAACATTACACTGGCACTATTTAAATATATAATCTAATGAGCAAAAATGTTCAACAAAGATTTTTGGAAAAATGAGCTTCAAAACATTATTTGCTTATGAAAATTTCATTTTTCAAGAGAACAATAGATCACAAGACAGTTTTAAAAAAAAGAATTCACTGACCTCTGAGTAATGTAAGGCATGASGTACATTTTGCTATTTTATTCTGTGCATTTTTAAATTTCTTAATTTTTTCTATAACACTGTCTGCATACTTACTGCTTTTAAAATGAAAGAGGTCATTAAAAATGGGGGGAACCAGGGGCTGGAGATATAGCTCAGTTGGTAGAGTGTTTGCCTTGCATGCACAAAGTCCTGGGTTCAATCCCCAGCACCAAAAAAAAAAAAGTAAAATGGGGGAATGGGCTGGGGTTGTGGTTCAGYGGTAGAGTGCTTGCCTAGCACCTGGAGGCACTGGGTTTGATCCTCAGCACCACATTAAAATAAATAAATTAAATAAAGGTATTATGTCCATCTATAACTGAAAAAAAATTAATGTTTTAAAAATTAAAAATTAAATTGTGGGGGGAAGAACAAATGGGATTCAGAAGAGGCTGTAAACTTACTGATATTCGGGTCACTAGTTTTAGCAAGACTCGGAATAACATATCTCATCCTCTACTATGATAATTAGGCATAAATTAATTCTCCTCTTTTTCTTGTTAAAAGCCCTGCACTTATAAGATTGTGCTATATTTTATCTTGCTTCCTTTCATTTTATAGAAACAAAAATGAAATAGGCAACATTTTATACACTAAAGACTGAATATTTATTGATTCATATATTCTTTTCTCTGTTTTCTGAGGAGGAATGACTATTACTTATATTTTATAGATAAGAAGTGTAGGTACACCATTCCCATGTTACAGACAGGCAGAGCTAATATCAACTACAGAAAATTTGATTTCAGAGCCTGAAAATTTAACCACTACACTGTTCAGTTTCTATGAGGAAGGAGAGATGTCACCCACTTTAGAGAGAGAAAAATCAAGACAGACAGACTCAAACAATCTTTCACTAATCAACATTGAGTCCAGGGTTACAAGTCTTGCCTATGATTTACCTGCTGAAAGCTGCCTTCAAGAAAAAAAGTGTTTATTYGACAATTTTTAGGAAATGAGTACATATTTCAACTTTGCTGGTTTGAACTCCTTCCAAACATGGAGTCCAACCAGAAGCAGCTAGTAATGCATTGTTTTATTCAGCCACCACTATGCAAGAGAGCATGGGGCTGAAGAGAGACAGAAGTTTTAATTGCCCCCTTTGTTTTCCCCAAATCTACACTCTGTCCCCAACTACCCAAAGTCACCTCAGGGTATCATTCCACCCACCTTTCTCTGCTGTGGTCCAAATTATCATTGCTAAGGGACACACAAATGCAGAGTTGTGTAAGAATGTTTTCTCTCTCTTCAATACAGCAACTTCTCAGTCAAGTCTACTGCTGACATGGACTCTTTCCTTCCTCAGTGTTTACTGCACATGAGGGCTGTCCATCTTCTCATGCATTCCCCTGCCCACAGCACACCCACTACCCACCTAGTAAGGCCCATGGACTAGGAAGGTGCAAATCTGCAAGCTGCAAGGACACCAGGGAGATTTGTTTGCCTAGCAGAGCATTGTGTGTGTGAATACATGTTTATCATGCATGCATATACATTRTTGACAAACATTTTAAAATATGGAATATTTCAATCAATAACAAATATATGAAAAAATGTTCATCATCTCTAGCAACTAGAGAAATACAAATCAAAACTACTCTACGATACCATCTCACTCCAGTCAGAATGGCAGCTATTATGAAGACAAACAACAAGAAATGTTGGTGATGATGTGGGGAAAAAGACACACTCATACATTGCTGGTGGGACTGCAAATAGGTGCAGCCAATATGGAAAGCAGTATCGAGATTCCTTGGAAATCTGGGAATGGAACCACCATTTGAGGGAGAAGGAAACTGCATAGACCGCAGCTATCTCTCTCCTCGGACTATACCCAATGGACTTAAAAACAGCATACTACAGGGACACTGCCACATCAATGTTTATAGCAGCACAATTCACAATAGCTAAACTGTGGAGCCAACCTAGATGCCCGTCAGTGGATGAATGGATATAAAAAAACGTGGCATATATTCACAATGAAATTTTACTCAGCAATAAAAGAGAATAAAACCATGGCATTTATAGGTAAATAGATGGAGTTGGAGAAGATAATGCTAAGTTAAGTTAGCCAATCCCCCAAAAACAAATGCTGAATGTTTTCTCTGATATAAGGAGGCTGACTCATAGTGGTGTAAGGAGGGAGAGCATGGGAGAAATCGATGAATTCTAGATAGGGCAGAGGGGTGGGAGGGAAAGAGAGGGGGCAGGGGAGTAGCAAGGATGGTGGAATGTGATAGACATCATTATCCAAAGTACATGTATGAATTGATAAATTGATGAATTGATGTGAACATATTTATATACAAACAAAGGTATGAAAAATTGTTCTATATGTGTAATAAGAATTGTGATGCATTCCACTGTCATGTATTTAAAAGAAATAAAACAAATTTTAAAAATATGGAATATTTAACACTCACAAAATAAATTGCTGGCTCCTTCTGGAAAAAAACTGATAAGGCCCTAAAAACCTTCACAGCAACAATCAGTTATGTGCTTTCTGCCAGCCTAATGGCTCAGTAACATAWCACATCTGCCCCCTGTTGAGCTATAAATCAACATCCCAACCTCTAGAGTCTAAACATCTGCAGTGACTCTGACTCTTGAGCTTGAACCACTCTCCAGTCTCCTCCATTATTCTGGCATTATTCAGTTCACTGCTCCTGGAAAACCCACCAGCAGCACCACCTACCTGTGCCTTGTCATACTCATTGCCTTCTATGTTTGCTCTTCTTGAATACTACAGCTTCTGAGAGTTCCTCTCACCATGCTCCTCTCAGGCTTAGCTGAGATCAGTGTTATATCCAAATATCTGAGACTCAGTTTATGTTAATGGGTTGCAACATTTCTTTAAAATTGCAGAATAAGAAGTTTCAAATGAGCAAGGATTTCAGAGGGAAAAGGAAACTGCATAAACCGCAGGGATATAACATCTACCTAAAGAGGAAGCTTTGAGCAGTCTTAAAAGTTGCCAGCATTAAAACAGCATGATTGCAGCTATAATTTTTTTATCATTAAATGAAAGCAATTAATATATTGTACACGTCCTACATTTAATAGATATGTTAATGAATTTAAGAGCTTGTGTTTTTATTCCACAGAATGCCAATTTAGAGAACTACACATGAAAAATTTTTACTTCAAAACAATGTCTGAGTATATGTGCAGTAGCTCTACATCTGTGAGCGGAGAACTCCAGGTTGAGAAAACTGTGTTCTG